ACGGGGCAGAGCCCTAGATCCGCCCCGGACGCTCTCCCGCCCCTGCTCCCCAGGCTGCCCGCAGCCAGGGCTCGCCCGGGGCACCCCTGCATCCCACTGGGCTCCTCTCACAGCTGCTCCCCCGCTTTCCGTCCAGGGTGGTCTCTCCTCCCTCGCCCACCCCTTCCTGCGAGTATTTACTGGAAACGCGTTCTTTTGGAGGGGAGGGTTAATCCCTTTGCACACAGAGCTCCCCTCCCTTTTCCCAGGAAGCTTGTTCCCGAAATCGTGTTTTATTGCAGATAAATAAAACACTGCTAAAATTAGGCTCTGAAAGCGAAGTAGCAGGGTCTCTTGGCTGTCCTCTTTCCCCTGTGTGGTCATTACCTGCTCCAGAGAGCTGCCGCTGGTCGTTAGGCTCCCTCATTAAACCAGTGGTTCTCATGTCCCCGTCTCCATAACGAGGTGCCTTTGCAGCAACTTCACCTTCCTTCTGTTATTTCTGCCATCCCGACATCTGCTAAGACTTTTCCAGACACGGTGAACTCTGGTTTCAAGATCCGCTAACCATTGCCTCTAGCTCAAAATCGAGGCAACAGTATTTGCCCACAGTGCTAGGTTATTCTGGATGGTTAAAAACAAACCTCTGCTTTAAAGAACTGCAGCTACACTTCCTTAGACTGCCTGAGCAGAAAGCAAAACGGCGAGTCAAATGCAGCCTAGAGGAAGTGGTGTTCAAAGCGGTGTTCAATGTGAAACCAAATCTCACCCTCATATACACACTGATGGACTCTGAACTGACCGGGCTTACCCCTCAGGACTGAGATTTTTTTTTATTATAATACATAGCTGACTAAAAGATCAACTCAGTGCTTCACGGATGATCAAAACCCAGTTAAAATTCTGGAAATCATTACAAGGAAACAGAAAACAAATTCACGTCAATACGCTGTTGTAGCAGACTGTGATTCGGCTGCACCTCCAATGCACTGCAGATCTGGTACACCCCCCTATTCCCTCTCATGTGAAAAAATGATACCTTAACCCTAGAGGATGGTTCAGGTGGCAACATGGATTAAAAAAAAAAAAAAAAAAGTATACAAAGGTATACATCAGACAAAGAATGAGTATTGGGGGCTTTTCAGCCTGGGAAAAGAGGGGGGCTGTGATGAAGGTGGGGGCTGTGATGAAGGTGTACAAGATTATGAGTTGATGGAGGCACCAGGTTAGGGATCCGCTGTTTTATCTCTTCCACTTGCAGAACTTGGGGGCATCGAATGCTGTGGTGTCAGGTTTGAATGAAGGTTAAGCACACTTGCTACACAATGTTTTGGATGTTAAAAAGTCTGCATAGCCAAACCCTGAAGCCAGACACATTTACAGAAGAAATACCTCAACAGGTGTTCGATGCAAAGGAAATCCCCGAAATGCAGATTCCTGGGGTGTGCGTGCGTTCCTCAGCTTGCTTCCCCTGCTCTCCTCAGCTGCCCGCTGTAACCAAGAGGTGACCAGACTAACTCAACCTGCTGGGTTTATGTCCTTTTTGGTTTTATGTCTTTCTGTTATACTGCTGCGTAACAACAAAGCAAAGTCTCCTCCAGACCAAGGCAAGCGTTTCAGTCAGTGGCAGCAGCAGCTCGGTGCTGAGCACGGCACGTCTGGTGCGAGCCCATCGGCCGCCCGCACCAGCACTGCCTGCTCTGGCGACTCCGGGCCACCTACTCAGCTGCCCAAAGAGCTGCAAGGACCCTTTGGAAGCCTTAAATGACCCCCAAAGTTAATGGAAAATGATTTAGGTTCTCACAGCGTTTTGACAAGCCCTTGCCTTTCCAGCGTGCTTGGTTCCTGCAGCCCCGGGTAAGGTATGGAGTGATACTGGCAGCATCACGCCTTGGTGTCTTGCCTGACGCAGGCAGTACCGCAGTCAGGATGGCCCAGCTGGAGGCAATGTTTGCCTGAGCCTGGGGTGAGGCTCTGGCTTTCTGGTTAACCTCTGCCTGGGAAGAATCAGTGCAGTGTAAATGACAGCATTCTGAATCCGATCAGGATGAATTGATATTGCTGAGGCACCCAGAGCTCCCGGTTCATGCAAGAGGCAGGTGATGTTGACTCTAAAATCCTGGATAAGTGGTTGTGGAAGAGAAGATGACAGTGACCACCAGCTCCCCGGCTGGCTGCACGTCTGGGTGCCACCAAGCATGTGATGACGGCAAACCACTGCACTGCCTACATCGCCTCAGAGAGCTTCAGCTACATGGCTATGAAAAACAGAGCTTCAGGTTCAGTAATTCTGAGTGCCAGTTCAGCTTGTCCAGATTTAGACAAGGCAAATCTCAGCTAGGAGCCTGGTTGCTCTCCTTCAGGGCGTCAATGAAATCTATAGACTCTGGGAACCAATGTTTTCATACACAGCTCAGTCTTCCAAGCATAGGAATCCCTTCCAGGCATTCTTCTTCATTATGCAAGCCTTTTTCATAATTTCTCCACTTCATGCCCTCTCCTTAGTTTCTGCGGGTTTAGGGGTGGTTGTTCTTCTGGGCTACAAAGCTGCCACTACCTGCTATGGAGGAGGGCGTCCAAAGTCGGTTCCTGGCAGACGGTACCCTGGTAGCTGGAGCTTCAGTGGAAGCCACTTGCTGGGTCATTGCTCTGTGTGCACTGGCTAATTTGCTCTAACTACGTTAAAAACAGTAATTGATCAGCTTAGAAGAATAACGTGATTACAGTTTAACTTTCTTCCACAAGAGAAGAAGCCACGTGCCATTGCTAATAAGAAGGCAGGATAAAAAACCGCGCAGAGTTCTGGGCGGTTTTCTCACATTTTACTCACGCTTTGGATCTGTTCCCTCACTGCAAAGCTTCACTGAAAAGATGACGAGGCTTAAGCCGTTGCTGGTAACAGTGCGTGAATGGACAAATGCAAACTATTTTTCTGGAAAGAGAGCTAGCTCTTTGTTGTTGTGATGTTGATTCCTGGGGGGGTTTCCACTGTGGTGTCCGCTTGACCCTGACACTGTGCCAGGAGCCCGGGCTCTGCTCTTTCCTCCGAGGAGCTGCTGTTGCGTCGCTCTGCACCACCACCCCGACAGAAAGTGAAAGCTCAGCGAGTTTCTCCAAGCCGTGGGAGCTCTGTCTTTCTCTTTTCCTTCTCTGACCGAGCTTTTGCTCCCCTCGGAGCCAAGGGAGGCAGAAAATGGAAAAGCTACGCAGGGTGCTGGATTTCTGCATCCGCCACCAGACCGTTCTGGGTTGCAGCATCGTGTCCCTGCTGACGGCTGCCAGCGAGCACATCTTCTCCACTGTGGTGTTCAAGTGCCCCTGCAATTCTGGGAACATGCTGTATGGCTCCGTCTTCCTCACGGTGCCTGCCTTCGTCCTCTTCCTCCTGGGCTACATGGTGAACGCCAGGACCTGGCGCCTGCTGACGGGCTGCTGCCCTCAGGAGAAGCGCTGCAGCTGCAGCCCCTGGGCAACCTGCGCCCGCCACTGCCACGTCCTGGTGCCGGTGACGGCCAAAGCCTTGGTGGCCCCCCTCACCTGGATCGCGGTGGCCCTGCTCGGAGCCAACTTCTACGAGTGCGCGGCCAGCGGGAGCGGCCTGATACAGCGCTTGGTCTGTGAAGGCAAAGGAGAAGACTGCCACAAGCAGCTGGCCAACCTGCCCTGCGACAAGAAGGGACTGGAGGAGCTGCTGGGTGAATCCCCCAGCCTTCAGGCACAGTCCCAGGTAAAGCCTCGCCGCTCGGCTCTTCGCTCTGCCCCCTTCGGCCCCGGCTGCTCAACGCACGGGGGTGCCGGCCGGGGATGCCGAGCCACCCTGCCCTCTCGCGCCCTGCAGTTACCAGAAGCACGCGATGAGCAGCAACTCGTGAGCAAAAGAACGCTGACAGAAAGGCAGGGGGTGCGTGCTTGCGCTGCTTTCTGGTTTTGCATGGCAATGGTCTGGCACGGCTCTCTAGAAAGCCGCTTTGAAAGCCGGGCAGGGAAGCAGACGGAGAGACCGGCCTTTCCGCAGCAAGTTGTCTTCCCCTTCAGCTTAGGCACGGTGCGAGTTCTTCTCTTTTTCCACTCCTACCCTCTCACTGCCTCAAACTTTTCGCAGCGCGCAGCAGCTGAGGGGAAGCTGAGGTCTCCTTGCAACAGAGAGCTGGCCAGTGAAACCAGCACGGACAGCTTGGAATCGCAACGCTCGAACGTATTAATAATTTCACACATGCGCTCTAGAAGGACAGTTAAAAGATGCGTGGGTCTTGTTAAAGTGTTGTCGTGCTGAAGGCAAACTGCGTGAGCAGAAGAACAGCACTTAGGGGTGGATTCTTTTGTCCGGAGTGAAACGAAAACCACAGATGTTGGCAGCACTCCCGTTTTGTTTCTCGATTTGTGGGGTTGTCGTCTTTAACCACGGCAGAAAAATCAGGTTTAATCACTTTTTGTCAGGAAAACATTAAGGCCGGTTAACGGAGTTAAGCTTGTAAGAGATTATAATTACTGGGATTTGTGTAAGGTCCTGCTTAGTACAAATGCTTCTTAAAACAAAAATGTCTTTACACTTGTTCGATAGTTAGCATGCTGCTCCTCCACGAAAAGGGCTGCAAAGGGGCAAGCTCTCCACCACCGAATTCAGGTGGGGCAAGAAAGGAGCACAGGCAGGGCAGGCTGCCTGTTCCTGAGGCTGCGATGAAATCGGAAAGACACAAACCTTTGGTCAAGCAGAACCAGAAAAAGCGTGACAGCATTTTTACTGCTGACCATTATTCTTAGTATCTGATCCACTTTCAACAAAATTAAGAACCAAAAAGGACACACAAGTATTTTTCTCTAGCACTCAGTGCTTTTCACCTGAAAGCCCCCCCAGCCTGAGGCGAAGGGGGACGCTGTGAGATCTCTGCCCGATGCTTCCAGCTAGGTACCACGGGGTGCGGGAGGGACCAGCATCTTTAGCGGACACCCGCTTTAGGTGGGGCCTCTGAGACTCACCTAGGGCTGTCAAAATCACGCCTAAACCAAGGATGGATTCCTTGGTCGCCTACAAAACCTACAGGGGACCCCCTTTCCTGTGTGCTGTGCCAACTGGCTGTGTTTTGCAGGCTCGGACATCAGGGAGAGGCGGTGCTTTCCAAGACCAGGTAGAACAGAGCCAGCAGGAGGTCCAGTTCGCAGCGCCAGGGGTGGACAGGCTGATCCTGCGCCCTCTGTACTGTAGATGTGACCAAGGCTGCAGAAACTGCTGGCCAGCAGCTTGCCTTTAAAGCTAAGCAAGCTGGATGTAACGGAGGGAAGAACCTCCCTCCACCTTCTCTTTTTGTATGGCGTTCATCCCCAGCCCAGCAAGATCAGCTCAGGGGTGAGGAAGCTCTGTAAGGCTGGCTGAACTGTGGGCAGGGGATCCCCCCTTTCCCCGGCGAGCGGGCTCTTCCAGGCGCTGCAGGCTGCCTCCGCTCACCGCTTGCACGTCTGCTCCACCCTTGGCTCCCGTGCTCCTGCACGGGACCGTGCAAAGCCACCGTTAACCCACCCGTCTCTTTCCCAAGCTGATAGGATGGTTCCTGATCGCCAGCATCGCGGCTGTGACCCTGGTGGCCACGTGCATCAGCCGCTGTTTCTCCCCGGTCAGCTATCTTCAGCTCAAGTTCTGGAAAATCTACTTGAAGAAGGAACGGGAGCTCTTTGAGATCAAGGCCAACGAGCACGCAGCCAGGCTGGCCGAAAGAAATACAAATTGCTTCTTTGAAGGCACCGACCCGGCACTGTTTCAGACTCCCAGCAACGAAGCCTGGTGGAAGATTTCCTTCTTGTACACCTTCAGTCCGCAAGAGCAGTACTACAGCATGATACACAAGTACGTTAACACAAGCAGAGGCGACCCCGTCCGACCCGGGGAAGGAGACCGGAATCCCCCCGTTTTGGGATTTGTGGATGACGCAAGCCCAAGCGAATCAGGCTTTTGATGAAACGAACCCCCTGCAACGCTGGGAGTCTTTTAACCCTACGGGTATCAGAAGAGTCCTACTCTCTGCCCTTATGGAAATCTATGCAATTTGTACGTAAAAGCTGACTGATAGCTGTCTCCCTCAGCAGTTTTCTTTCTAAATACTCTTGATCACTTTTGCTTAAGTGTGTTTAAATAAATGCGTCTGTCACGATGGGAGTTTTCCTGTGTTGTTGTGCATTAAGAGGAGTCCCATGTGTAGCAAAATAGGCATCCACGAGGATGCACATCCACAAGCCAGCACATACTTTGCCAAATTATTACCAAACACCTTAAGGGCACCCGGCAGCCGCAGTGACAAGATCAAACCTTTGTCCTTGGCAGCGTCAAAGAGACCAAAGAGGAGAGGAAGTTTTGATCCGAAATTCAGTTGAGTTTATTAGCTCTCGCTTGACCATATGTCTTCCAGTGCAGCCTAGAGCTTGCTAAAATACTTACTTACAGTCCATTTGCTTCATGCTTCCGTGCAGATATTTATATATATTGGTTTTGTATGCAGTCATGTTTGAATTTTGAGTTTTCCTCACCTTTGTGTAACACTCATCTCTTCTGCACGTACTTATAACAAAATAAGTTTCAAAGAGAAGCTTCAGCACACTTTTGAATGATCCATTAGATACCTTCAAAAGAAGGGCCTACACTAAAACCAAACACTGACGAACACTTCTGTGACTATGCTACCAAGCGAGACAAGCATAAAACTCTATGTGCATAGGGTAGCTCACATCAGCAACTAATGGTAACGTAGTGAGGGTCACTGTTTTTTCTATTGTTTATTACCATTTTTCTACCTAACATTTAATTACTCCATCTTTGGATACAATGGACGAGGTGATCCAGGAAGAAAATACAAAAAGCGCTGACAGCAAAATGTGTGCATCGAGCATGTCTGCCCAGCACAGAGCTGAGCCAAGAGGAATGATTGCTGCAGGACCAGGTGCACCGGCGGGATATGGCATGAGTATGAACTAGGACCCAGCCTAGTCTGGCAGTGTCCTGTCGCCTCTTGGCTTGATCTTGAATCTGTGCTGCCTTGACTGGCTCAGGCATTTCTGTTTTATGTTCATTTGCAGATTGGAAACTTACCCTTCAAAACTTACTGTGTCCAAGTAGAAGTAAGATTTCCTCAGGCTGTTTATTCTGAAATACTGAAACCTAAACAAACAGCTTTGATTTCCTACATGGAGCATCACTGCAAATGTTTAGCACTGAAGGGAGGGGAGGAAGCCCTGGCCCCACCAAAGCCAGTGTGGCAAGACTGCAAAGGCCCCAGGACAACGCTAATGGTCCTTGCTTTAAAAATGTTGTAATATCCAGCCTTGACTTTGCTAGCTAATGCCTGCAGATAGGAACTCTTTAATAGGCCCTGAATACATCATGAGGATTGTACAGACCTGGTGGGAATGAACCCCGCTGTCCCCAAGGTGAGAGGTGCCCCTCACTGAGCAGGATTAAGAGGTAAACAGACTGAGGGAAAAATAGGAGATGAGGGTACAAATCCCAGCAATAAAGTCAGAGTTAACCCTGGGCTTCACTGAACTGAATTGAGGATTTCTATTTCGGTTTAAAACAAGCGCTTTGGTGAGAAGAAGGGGAGCTGGCTTTGGGGGTAGGGTACTGTGCTAGGACTTGAGTGTTTGTCTAACCTTTACCCATGCATCTTGCATTACACTAGGTGACGTTAAACCTTTCTTATAACTCAGGTCTCTGTGAGGCTGCTATTTCTCTATTTCCCAGTCATGCTGTGGTAACAAGTCCACCACCAAGGGGAAGATGTTCAACAGCCCATGCTGAAGGTCAGGTAAGAACAGACGCAACAACCAGCAAACCAGTTGTGTGGCAATCTCTGATTTTTTATTCAAGTTTCCTCAGGTGAGTACAGATCCACAGTGACTACACCTTAAACACACCATGCTTTGTTCAGTTTGGTCATAAGATCAGTGCTCTTGAAGAGGAGACTGACATGCAAAGGTCCATAGCTTGAAGCAACACAAGCATTGCTGGGGTCACCGGAGAGCTGCAGCCTGACGTGTGCGTGGGGCTGAAGAGGCACACCAGCAAAACTGCACCCAGGGCCGGACAGAGCCGTAAGGAACCCAGGTGGCCCCTGCCCCTGCCACCAGTGAAGCCGCCTCCCCCTCTGGTTTCAAAGGGAGCAGGATGTTGGGTGCAGAGGACAATGAACAGCAAACCCCACATCACAACAGGCACCTGACAGCGAGACACCACATACGGCAGTCACAGCGGATGAATTCGTTATTCCTAACCACAAACAGCCAGGGAAACAAAGCACCTCTTAGCAACCATGCTTTGAAACATTACCAACAAATAAAATGGGAAAAGGTGGTCACGGTTAGCTGAAAACAGTTGGCGCCTGAATGAATATTTTGCATCCAGCGTGCACTAAATACTGAGATAAAACTTTCATTGAGCTCAAGAGCATGGTTATGTGAGATGGAAGGGCAGGCCGTTTCGATCTTTATACTGACATCTGTGCCACGACCATTAACATTGCTCTCCCCCTGCTCTGCCCCTCCTGCTTGCCGCCCAGCTCTCTTCACCTTTCAAAGGTACGATGGGTGCAGCTGGCTCGGCGAAGCCATTTTTACCCAGCATGTCTGCTTCAGAAACAAATGGCGCAAAATATCCCTCAGCAAGGGTTTCTCCCAATATTTCTTTCATTTATTTCTTTTCTGCTTTCTGTCTTCAGCCTTCCTTAAAAACGTAATTCCTATTTCTGTTACAGCATCACCCTTCAGCCTGTCCTGGAGGAAGGTAACTTCTGCTGCTAAGTGAACCTACAAAGAATCAGGTCTGGTCAGTTAAGCAAAGAAATGCCCAGTTTTTCCCCCTCCTCCAGTATAACAAGCTTTTTCTCTCTCTCTCTCACCACAAGGGGACCTCCTTTCTCAGGTTTCATAAGAAAAAGATTTCTAGATTTTTTAAAATATCCTTCCCAGCTAAGTTAATAAAAAGGAAGTTTATATACACTGGAATTTGTATAATACATTACCCTTCATTCCAGCACTTTGCTTTCTTCCGAGAACCTAAATCGTGCCCTTGATGATTTTGTGATCACCAAATTTCCTGGTCACATACTAATACCTATGATATCATACTTTTGTTAATTAGTCTTATGTCAGATACTATAATTCTGAGACCAGCATACATACATAGTACTTGTACAGCTTTTGTTTTCTCGAAACGTAAGATAAATGACAAATTAGATATTGACACAAACATAAAGCAGCCCAAAAATTATCTTCCAGAAAACGCCTCAGAAGCTGTACCTCTCAGGGACTTTCAAATTATGTCCTTTGTTTATTCTGTCATAAAAGTCTTGAATTTAAGAACAAAATTTGGAATGCCATCTGATACACTTCTGACATTTCGGTTTTAACATTACGCTCGTCCACACTTTGCTCTCCCTTTCAGCAGGCGCTGCGGCAATCTGAGAATATTATTTAACATAGAATCATAGGATCATAGAATTGTCTAGGTTGGAAAAGACCTTTAAGACCATCAAGTCCAACCATTAACCTAACCCTGCCATCCCACCACTAAACCATATCCCTAAACATCGTATGTTTGGAAAGGATCAGGGATGGCTATTAGTGGTTACACCTATACAGGAAAATGAGACGGGTGGAAGGAGTAGCGGAGCCACCAGCATGCCCCCCGGCTCTCCACATTCCCCATTAGCTGCCGCCCTGCTCCCACCTGGCTTTTGCACCCTGAAGAGCCAAGCAGGGACAGCGTGGAGGTGAGCCGACCTGTGTGATTCTCTACCTCAGGGTCCAGGATTGCTCTGGCCCTCTTTTATTTAGATATGGACATTTAAGATGAGAGAGAGATTAAACGCTGCTAAATTTCCTTCTTTTATCTGAGGAAGTGCTTTTGCTTTCCTGTGCCTCTGCATGTTAATAAAGAATGGAGAAAACAGATGTGCGCTTCCTTACCATTTCCAAGGCACCTCGAATCACCCCACAGAGGAGGTTACAGTAGCAAAGGGATGCTCGTTCTGCTGGCAGCTCCTCCACAAAGTCCACTAGTGGGTTTTTGTCCAGGATTAAGGAGAATTCGTTTCCTGCGGCGCTACTGCAGCTCACACTAGGGGTGACCCCAAGGTACATCTTGAAAGCAACCTGCAAAAGGATGAAAGTCTGCTGCTTGAATCCATCGTGTGCAAACCAAAGGTGTGACTTCAGGATGCAGCATCCTGTAGACCAGCTTTACCCCAGGAAAACAGGGTAAGGGCCAGACAGGCCGGTAATCAAACTAGATTTGCCTCTTCTGTGATCAGCTTGAGCCAGAGGTGAGAGTCTGAAGCTATGTGACACTCCAGGGAAGTACAGCAGAAGGCTGCTGATTCTGTCTTTGATGCTCCTACATTTACAACCCCATACAAAGTGGTTTTACTGTTATCACTCGTCTGCTTTCAGCCATGTCACACTCCCCTGGGACCATTAGCATCTATACTAGGTCTTTCACTGCACTGCCAGCACCTTTGATAATCACAGCTCAGGAACTCCTGCCACTGGTGAGTGCGTGTTTTTACTCTGATCTCCATCTGCAGTCACACACAAAAAAAAGCCAAAAAACCAACCCACCAAGAATAAGACTGCCAAGACTGCACACTTATTTGATTATATAGAGCATTGCCTGCTTTCCCTCTACTACTGACGAATGTTACTGTAAATGTGCAACATCTGCTCTGCTAGTGGAGGGGTCCCCCGTGAGTGCATTTCTCCAGACGGTGACATCATGGCGTTATCTAGACAGCTCATACGCAGGCGGACTAGCAGCAGGCTGTTCCTCCTCTCAAGTGCTCTCCCCTGCTACACCACTACAGAGTGCTACGACCGAAGACAAAAGTGCCTTGATTTTTATCTCTTTAGTGAGTGTCAAACATGGATGGCTTCCAAACAATCCTGAAATTCTTCATGCACCAGAAAACTGCTATAGGTTACAGTTTTATGGCGCTGCTGACAATGGGAGGTGAACGTGTGTTTTCTCTTGTTGCTTTCAGATGCCCCTGCAGCAATGAAAACTTCAGGTACGGTTTGGTATTTCTCTTCTCCCCAGCTTTTGTTTTGCTCATTATTGGCTATTTCTTGAACAGCAAGACCTGGAAACTCTTTACAGGCTGCTGGGCGAATCCCAGAAAAATATTCCCCAGAGGGAATATCTGCCATTTCTTTTACGTCTTTGGACAAATCACTTTAAATGCTCTGGTAGCCCCAGTGATGTGGCTTTCTGTGGCTTTGCTCAACGGGACTTTTTACGAATGTGCCATGAGTGGCTTGAAAAACCCTTCCTACTTACATGCAGTTTGCCACAGCAAATCTACCAAGTGCTTTGAAGAGCTACACAAGGTAGCCTGTGACAAAAGCTCCATGCCCTTTTCAGAGAGTGACGAACTGAAACGGACTCTTCAAGCGCAGTCGCAGGTAAGAAAAATAAAGGAAGAGCACTATGCAGTTTGTGCTGCCGCTGTGATTTATCTGTGGAAGATGCTGGTGTCAGATGCTGAGATGAAACCGTTGGTTTCACGTAAACAAAGTTTTGGCACTATGCAGCCTTGCAAAATACAAACAAACAATCTTCTAGTTCAGTTTGAGCTGTGCCATGCTTCCTGGGGGGCCCCGCTGACGGCAGGATCAATAAGACCAGATAAATTAAAGCTTTCTTCCTGAATGAAGATTGCTCTAAAGAGGAAAAACTACTGCATTGTTTAGAAGGCTGAATTAACAGACAACACCCCATTAAAGGGGTCTGTCCTATTAAAAATCCATACCACGCTCTCCTATTTTATACCATTGTGATAACTGTAAGGAAATCCTAGGTCACTAACAGTAGAAAAATACAGGAAAATAAGATTTGTGACAGATTTGTGACTGCTTGCACAGTGTGTTTCTGTTTGCGTTCCTCACGTTCATGATGCCAGGTGAGAGCATGTTTTTGTCCTGCTTGGAGGAAGGAAGAAACGCTAAAACAAAACAAGCAGAACATGCAAAGCTGAGATCGTATTGCATTTTACTATACTTATGTGATACATTTCTGCTCACCGCCTTGTAACATAAATGAATTTAGAGACAAAAAAAAATCAAAACAGAGGGGGGAAAAAAAAGGCTACAGAAAATGATGA